CGGCTCACTGCAACCTCTGCCTCCCGGGTTCAAGCAATTCTCCTGCCTTGGCCTCCCGGGTAGCTGGGATTACAGGAGCCTGTCACCATGCCCCAAAAAATAAATTTTTTTGTATTTTTAGTAGCGATGGGGTTGCACCAGATTGGCCAGGCTGGTCTTGAACTCCTGACCTCGCAATCTGCCTGCCTCAGCCTCCCAAAATGCTGGGATTACAGGCATCAGCCACCTCGCCCAGCCTTCTTTTGAATATTTTTAATTCACAATTGGTTGGATCTGCACATTCAGAATCCACAGATACGAAGGGTGACTTTATATCACTGTGTCAGGCTCCCAGTAATTGTAGCAGTATTTTTTGGTAGAGATAGGGTCTCCCTGTTTTGCCCAGGCTAGTTTTGAACTCCTGACCTCAAGCAATCTGCATAACCTCACCTTCCCAATGTGCTAGGATTACAGGCATGAGCCACCACACCCAGCCAAGCTATTAATTTTTACAAATGTGAAGTATTGTGTAAAATGGCACAGTTATTGACAAGAAGTTACAAATAGCATATTGAAGAAAATTAATACCATTCCTAAAGTACCACCTTGGGAACATGACTTAACATTTTAGGGTACATACTCCCAGCTGTTTCTGCGTGTATGTGCTTTTCCCTTCCCCAAGCACATGGTGCCTGTGCATACACCGCCCACAGCCTGCCTTCCTCACTAATGATAGATATTTTCATGTCAAGAAATATACATGTATAGCACCATTTTTAATGATTATATCATACTCCATTGTGTGGATGTGCCTTCATTTCTCCTGTGATATCTGAAAAACGAACCTTGGCAAGTAAATTTCCTTTCAGTTTTGTCACTATCGTAAAGAACTCCAGTCAGTGTCTCTCTGTGCCCTTGCACATTTGCCTAGGATAAATTCCTAGCAATAGGCTTCCTGAGTTGAAGAGTTGCGTGTGCTTTCATGGTTTTTGGTGTCTGTTGTCAAATTCCCAGAAGGGTTGATGAGTTTATCTCATCTGGCAGTATGTAAGAGGGCTTTCTCTCTGCCCTCTCAAGAACATTTACCTTCAGAAAGAAGAGCTCTTCCTAATATAACCGGTAACGTGGTAACCTTGATGTTGCATTCTCTTGCTGGCCTGAGTTGCCCTTGTCTACTCCTTGTCTTTTAGAAGCTACACCTTTCAGAACCATGCAGCAAAGCAGGTGTTCCATCGACGTCTCTGACTTGTTTCTGTTGTTACTGAGAGCACCTCCCATGCATTACTCTTCAGTGGGGTTCGAGATGTAGATACGGATCGATTCTTATGTGTTCTTTATTGTGGTGAGGAAATCCCCTTGTGCTCGCTGTCCTGCGAGTGCAGTTTTGGAATATAGTCAGATTGGTTCTCCAGGTGGCCTTCAAGTGGGAGAGGTGTGATGCCAGTTCCGTGAGGCCCACCTGTGGTTGGGTTAGCATCTCTCCAGGACTGCTCCATCTAGGTCTCCTATTCTCCAGCCCCTTGCACACTCAGCTTCCATCCACCAGAACGGTGAGGCACCGGGTCTTCCCTGCTTCTCTCTGCAAAGTTGCTCCATCAGCGGGGGAGGGGGGCGCCTCATTGCTGGCTTAGCTCCTCCTAAGACCCCATAAGAGAGCAGAGCTCTAACTGTTGAACCAGTTGCGTTACATCAGTTAGAGATGTGCAGTCAAAATATCATTCTTGATAAGACTCATTGACCAGTAAAAAGTGAGAGCTGATGGATGGTCACGTTTCCAGTCTACATATGTTCACCTGCTGAGCCCAGGCTCTGTCAAAGGGATGTTTGCTGCTTCTTGCCAAGGGGCGGATATGATAACAGTATATATCAGAAGGTTCTCTTAGGAGACCTAAAGCCTGCTTGCTTTTCATCTAGCCTCTTGAGTATATGATCACAACCAGTTCTTCAAAAATTCTCCTATCCACAGGCTTTTTCTTGTGATATCCCTCAGTGTTTGCCAATTCCATCTTTTCTCCTTCGTTCACAAATATGCATGAATATTTTTGGAGTATAGAAGGGGGGCACAGTGGGGCTTTGCTGTGTAATTGTGTAGCAAGCAAGAGCCAATGTCATTTTCAAATGCAATCCTGTTCATGCCAGTCTCCTTGTAACTGACGTTTGTGACGCAGGTACCTAGTTCCCTAAGGGAGGGGCTTATTCCAGGAATGGATTTGGTATTACCAGAACCTGGAGGGATGGCATGACCTTCCATGTAATCCTTCCTTGGTTTCATTTTCACAGCCAAGCATTGGATAAAAGCACGGAGAGGCAGTGAGTTCCTGGTGTATTCTCTGGCAGGTGCATACAGCGAGTTTGTTCTGTTGTGAGTTGTTAGGGGAAGTGCTGAACCATACCAGCTGAGTTTATCTGGTGGTCTTGGTTCCAAATGGGAAGAGGCATTTGGGGAGACACCCATGAGCCGATTCCAGACTTTCCTTAATAGCAAACTTGGGAATGTGCAGGTGTGTTGCTAGTTCAGGCCCTAAAATTCTGTACCATGAAAGTGGCCCAGTTATCTCAGTCTAGAAAATTTCAAAAGGTCATAGAACCAGATGATCTCAGTTAAACACAGATGACACTGTGACACCCACATCCTTGGTTATCTCCAGGATGTATTACAGCAGAAGGACCGCTGAGAGTCACTGGCCACATGCAGTGGTGGCGTAAGTGGGTCAGGTGTTGGGAGAGGTGCCAGGATGGGTGGTGTTTGGGTTCCAGGGCCGTCACTGTTGGTCCTAACTCTGTTGCCACACTGTGAATTGGGGCCTCTCCCTGGTGACACCCTGTTGTTTGAACGTGGGAACCAGCTTCCTCTTCTGTCCTCTGGGATTCAGGCCCATGTCCAGCCTCTGTGGCCCTATATCAAGTCATTAAAAGTAGATGTTAACCTGTCATTGAACCAGAATAACTCCCTCTTTTATACCAGAGGAAAATGTTATCTGGTTTTTGAGAACACTATTCTCATCCACCTTTTCTCTCAAAGGCATATGGGGCCCAGGTTCCGCAGGAGCTCCCGGAGCAGGGCCCTGCATTGATGTCATATAGTGTAGCCTGTGCCCGTTCCTTTCCACGGAGCCCAGGAAAAAACCCGGCCAACCCTCAGGTATTTTTAGAGTTTTCTACAAAGACGTAAGCGTGTATCAGTAGTGAGGTTGCTGTACCGGCTCCTGGTGTATACCTCTAAAGAAGCCTGGGTAATTAGTGGACCAAAAAGGAAACAAGCATGCTTTTTGGGGGGCCGGATTCTGATCAGCTGGTACTTCTATTGTGGGATGGCGGTGGGGACTTGAGCGCGCCAGGCTTGCCGTTGTGTTAAACGTAGAAGATTCAGGCAGGGATGCAGCACTCGCACATGGCTGTGAGGCCTTGTTCCTTCCAGCACAGACATTTATGTTCTGTCCACGTGTGTGCTGCTCACAATCCCTGTGAGGCTGGACCCTGCTGCCACCAGCAGCCTCCCTCCATTTCCTTATCGTGTGAAATTCAGGGAGCTGGGAAGAGGGTCTTGCACACAAGGAACATCGGAGCAAGTGTAAACAACTGGAGCTGGGTGCAGTGGTTCACACCTGTAATCCCAGCACTTGGGGAGGCCAAGGTGGGCAGATGACCTAAGGTTAGGAGTTCAAGACCAGCCTCGCCAACCTGGTGACACCCTGTCTCTACTAAAAACACAAAAATTAGCTGGGCATGATGGCACACACCTGTAGTCCCAGCCACTTGGGAGGCGGAGGTGGGTGGATCATGAGGTCAAGAGATTGAGACCATCCTGGCCAACATGGTGAAACCTCATCTCCACTAAAAATACAAAAATTAGCTGGGTGTGATGGCTCATACCTATAATCCCGGCTACTTGGGAGGCTAAGGCAGGAAAATTGCTTGAACCCGGGAGGCGGAGGTTGTGGTGAGCCGAGATCGCTCCACTGCACCCCAGCCT